CCTTACTTTTTTTTTTCTTTTAGTTATTTACGTAAAGAATAATAATACAAGGAAAATAAAATAAATAATAGTTGGTGAATACAGGAACATTTGATAAGAACAAAAAAAACTTTGATTTTTCCTTGGAACGTAGATATCAACCTCGGTCCGATAATTAACAACTCTTTGATTCGTCATTTGCTACAGACTTCCATTGCTCTCTCTCTCTCTCTCTCAGTGCAGCCGAACTGGTTATTAGTGTAGTGATTGTCAGGTACTAAACAGTGAGATTACGCTCAGCGAGTGAGATGAAATTTTAAAAATGCAGATCTTGAACTTAACCATTAATAGCAAGTTGAGAAATTCCCAACCAAAAATCTTAGTCACTACAGAAGACAGAGTGAAACTGAAAATTAGCAACATATTTAACTAATCAGACAACCTCATACAGAGAGAGAGCTCCACGCATCCACAGAACCCACTGAAAATGGTAACCCAAACTACCTCCTTCATCACTTGCACCGCCCACCGAATCTAATTCGGGGCTTCTACCATGATTTTCAAGGGGTAGCCTCTTCTTCCATCTCACCATAAGGAAGCGCCATTCCATCATACGGAGGTGACCCTCCTGTTACTGGAGGAGGAGGTGGTGGTGGTGATGGTGGTGTAGGGATAAAGTAAGCTGGGATTCCCTCAGGAGAGGCTGGAAGTGGTGGAGCTGTCAAAGGACTAGCCGGAATTGGTGATGGCCTTGCTGGAACTGTCACTGGGCTTGCTGGAGTAGTTGCTTGGGGTGCCGGAATAGTAACTGGAGTCACCGGAAGACTACTGCTTTCATATTCTATAATTGTACTTAGACCATGGCACCTTATATTCGTGCTTCCGCAAACATTAGGGGCGACAATGCGTGCATTGTTGAGATAAAAACTATAAGAGCCATGGTTTGAGACGTTGAGAAAGCGGCTATGGCGGGCAGATGGGAGTAGGGTCCCAGTAGGAAAGTGGAGCATGTGCTTGAAAAGCATGGAATTCGGTATGGAATGGGTTAGCATGAGTTCTTTGAGCTGGCCTGGTAAGAAGTTATAGTTTGCTAGGTCTTTATCACTGGGCATGAGGAAGGTGATATCATGGCTGAGTCTGTGATTAGCATGTTTACTCACCATCATTTGGAGCAAGACCACAAAGGTGTAGTAGGATCTTGCTTTCATGTCTCTAATGGCTTCTTGGAGATTGCTGGTGTTTGTGGGCTGTGATGTGGAGAGGGTGAGGATTGAAAGAAAGATGAGGAGAGAGAGGGATGGCTTCTTCATCTTTTAGGTGATTGCTTTGAACAGGTGTTTAGATGGAGAAACTGGGATTTAAATACACAATTGGGGGGTAGCTCATGCCATTGGTGCTGTGGTGCAAAAATAATAGGCTCTTGGAATGTTTCTTACAAGGTGAAGAGTTAGTTAGGAGAGGATAGGTTGCATGGTTACTCCCACACAAGGGAAGGTTAGTGTTTGGTTAAGAAGCTTAGGGCTGATTGAGGCTATTATCACTCAAACTCAATTGAAACCTTTTCTGCCTTTTTTACAAGGAAAAAGTTTATATCTAAACAATCAAATTAGAGCCCATCTTAAAAATTTCACTAGAAGAGGTTGATTGGATACTCAAATACTTTTTTTAAATTGACCATCTCGACATCAAGATATGCATGGACATGAGAAAAAAATGGATTTCAAGTTTTGAAAATAGTGCATCTTGTAACGTATTTTTGGACTGTCAATTTTAAGATTTTTCGAGTTTTCATAGATTTGCTCGATCTACCCTATTTTTGAAGTTTTAAATTTTATAATTAAAGATAAAAATATATTTTAAGGCTATCACAAATATTTCCAATATTGAAACCATATTTCTCGACACTATTTGAAGGTGGGCTTTACGTTGATTGTTTAGAGCCTCGGCTATCTACAAACCTCACCCTTCTTTAAATTTATGGACCGGGTTTCTATGTAGCCAAGTCCGCATATGTAGAAGTGCGGGCCTTTTAATAAATCTATTCCTTTCAATAAATCTATTTTTAAGATGGATTTTAAGACTTAATTTTTAAGGACATATAATCTCTAACATGGAGATCATGAATATGAAAAAATAAATAAATTTTAGAAACTAGACATAATAATTTCAATAAGAAAGCATTTAGAGCGTTAGATGAAACACCTACTTGCATCCATTTTTAGGATTGATACTTTACACTTTTTGGACCGCGTATGTAGAAATGAGGTACAGTCCGCATGAAACAATTTTCCTTAAATTCCCATTAAATCTGCAATTTCGTTAGTATCTTTTCAATGGGCAACCTACTGGTTTCCTTAAACGCCAGGCACCATGTTTGTTGCATATGAAATAAGAGAGATAGAGAGAGTAGATATTTAACGAAAGCAGGCAAAAATGGAGTGAGAAAAGGAAAAAGCCAAAGTATCGCATCCACATAAGGTCGGTTAAGATTAAATAAGATAACAACCAACGGCCAAAATCTAGTTTTATTTTATATATTTTTTTAACTATTATATTTAACTAAAATTTAAGATATGAATTACTTTTTATGTACGTGAATTACTTTTTATGTACGTAACCAAATACAAGTAATAATAAAATATCTTGAATAAAAAATAGCCAAAAGATCTATAAATGTGTTTTGGTCAATATTTTTTTACTGAAAATATTTTTTATTATTCTTATTTGGTATCTTTCCCTTATAAAAATACATTTATACCTTAAGTTTCAAATAAAAATAATTTTTAAAATAGAATTTTAAAATACAAACACAAATTATTTTGTAGCCATTAGGTGAGGAGGTTAGGTTCCATCTGAACCATTGAAAGGTTCTTGTGCATGGTTCAAGATCCATGTGATATGGACGCTATTGAGGTCAAAATCCAGCGAGCTTTGTAATTACTACTGCCAACACATGCTGGCATTCACAGAATGGCCTTTTGTTGATGTCATCTGAAAGTCCTCCATGAGCTTGAGGCGTTGGGGGGACTTATTTAATGTTTGCAAAATCGAACTAAAACAGTTAACCGAATATGGGTCTGAAAGCGGTTTAACCGACCTAACTGATAAATCGGCGTATTTAATTGCTCTAATCGGGCAAGTCCCGGGGCAGTATAAAAAGTGTTGAAAAAAAAAAAAGGTACAAAAAAAATCTAATAAAATATAAAAAGCATAGAAAGAATGATTAAAACAAAACACATTCAAATGAAGTTAAAAATTAATGAAAAAAACCAATTTTAACCCATTTTATATTTCCCAAGGGCTATTTTTAAAATTTTCTAAAAAACAAGGGGAAAATATAAAAGTGAGTATTACTAACCAAAATTTACCATAATATAAATAATATTTAAAAATACAATACAAATCAAATTCCTTAGCTTTGAGAATTTATATATATATATATATATTATTTTTAATTACAGGTTGATCACCCTAACCGCCCAAAACCGAAACTAGCCAGTGGCCAGTTCCGATCTAACCGGGCAGTTAGCAGCTAGATCTAGCGATTTTGTGAACAATGGTTGTAATGTCCTTAAATAAGTGAGGATTATGGACCTTGATCGAGGTTCTCATGACTCAAATTGCATGTCAAAGTCAAGTTGGTGTTGTTTGTAAGAAAATTCGCGCGGTTCAAATCGAAACCGCCCAGTTAGATTGGTACGAGCCACTTTTTCAGTTTCGGTCGGTTTTAGTGAACCGGCCGGGTATTTTAAAACAATTCAAAAAAATTGTATAAAATCCCAAAAAGTAAGGGATTTTGTTTATAATATAATTTTTTAATGTTTTTCATCATTTTGGCAAAGATTGGAAATTGTTTTGGCCATTAATATTTATTTTAACATATTCGCATCGTTTTTTGAAAAATTTAAAAAATACCCCTGGGCACACATCGATTCTTTAAAATCCATTTTTCATTAATTCTCAACTTCATTTGCATGTGCTTTGTTTAATCATACTTTAAATATACTTTCATATTTTATTAGATTTTGTTTTTTGTATTTTTTTTATTTTTAACAATTTTATCACCGTTCGGGACTATCCAGGTTAGGCCGATTGAACCAGCCGGTTTACTAGTTAGGTTGGTTGAACCGCTTCCAGCCCCATGTCCAATTAACCATTCCGGTTCAATTTTTCCTACATTGGTTGCAACCTTAAACAATCCAATTAAGGTGCACCTCTAAATTCTATATATAAAAATTTCTTAGGATGGTTTGAGCATCTATTTTTATTTCTAATTGTAAAATTTTAAACTCTACAAATGATTCAAACCAAGTAGGTCTTTGAACACATGAAAATGTTGAAAGTGGACGGTCCAGATAATATGTTGCAAGATACACTATTTCGCATAATTGAAATCTTTTTTTCTTTTCAAATTCATACATCTCGATGTCGATATGATCAATTAGAGGGTTTTTTAATATTCAAACAACCTTTTATGAAGGAGTTTTGAGGGCCCCTTTAATTCTACAATTTAAGGTTCTAACCTATATAAACTTTTCCTAAACCAAATATTCTACAATTTAAGGTTCTAACCTATATAAACTTTTCCTAAACCAAATAATGAATTTATAATATTAAGTTACAAGCTGAGGGCACTCTTGACTATTTCAGGTCACACTTACTTGCACAAGAGTATTCACAAGAGCATAGGTTGCTCCCATTTGCCTAGATGAATACTATTCGTACACTTCTTGCCTTAGCCACTAGTCATGACTAGTGTGTGGCAAATGGATGTAAAAAATTCTGTCCCTCTGAGGAAGTGTACTCATGCCAACTACCTAAATTTAGTGATCAAGTTCCCTCATTAGTATAACGACCTCATAAAGCATTTTGTAATATCTTAATCAAGCTCTATATACACAGTTCAACTGTTTTTTTACCATTATTTTGTATTTCTATCCATGATCATGCCATTATTTTGTATTTCTATTCATAGTAAACATGATCACTCTGTGTTTGTTTGTGCCACAAGTTGCAATATTTGCATTTATTTACCATATGTTGAGGATGGTGTTATATCTAGTGACAATTGTAACTCAATTGAAGATATATTCTTGTAGTTGTACGAATAATTTGAGATGAATGATTTGGTGAAGTTCATAGGCCGTTGGAGTCGAGAATCCTTCAAGCATGGTATTGAAAGTTAAAGACTTAAGCAGAGGGTAGATAGTTTCTTTTGATGATGTGTTGTGTTTGGGAAGAAGAATGAAGAGGCCCATGAGTTGGCTAGGCAGGAATCAGATAGTTCATTTGTAAAAAGATTTAGAGTTTTTTTTTTTTGACAATATTCAAAATTTTTTTGATATAAAGGAAAATTACAACCAAAGAGTTATAATAATGACATTTTATTATCAACAATTACCAAAGAAGGGAATGAAAACATAAGTGAGACAAAACTACTCTTGTAGTTTAGGTTATTGTACATCAACACATGCATTTGCGTTCAGGGTTTATTGAGAAAGAGAGGTTTAAAAAGATGTAAAAACTAGATCAAGGATTGAAAACATAAGTGAGACATGAAAATCATTAAAAAGAAAAAAATTATCTCTTACCATCTAAGCAATGGATAGAATTTCATCTCATCGCCTGGTGGAACCCAACTCTGTGATCGGTTAGTAACGAAATTCGTGACCACTTTTTTCTAAAAGAAAATCGCATAAAACCCTAAAAAATAGACTTTCTAAACAATTTACCCTGACCTAACTTTTTTTAGCAACTTTTTTTACAAAACCATGTTTCCTAGCAAATATCCCCAACTCAAAAAACAAAAAAAAGAAAGAAAAACTAGAATAAAATACCCCTCGTTTAGGAAAAAAAAAAAAAAAGACTAAAATACGGTCCGGCACTTCACCATGGAGGTCCGTTGTTTGGAAGGGGCGGACCCGCATTTGGAAGAGGTCGTTCCTGTATTTTATAAGCGTAGTCCGGCATTTGTTTGTGTCTGGAATAGGCGGCCAGGCAGTGTACAGTTCCAGTCCAGCAAAATGGATGGATCCATCAATATACAACAGCGGTTCGGCATTTCCTTTTATTTGGATCCAAAAATGAAAGGGTATTTTCGTCCAAAAAAATAAATATTTTGTAATGGGGGTATTTGCTATAAAACTTGATTTTTGGGAAAAATATGCTAAAAAAAAGTTAGGGTGGGGTAAAGTGCCTAGAAAGTCTACTTTTTGGGGTTTTATGCAATTTTTCCTTTTATTCATTGTAATGAATAATCATAAAAAATATATTTTGAAAATACACTCTAGAAAGTGTTTTTTATGCCCGAT